GCTCTTCAGTGAGCAATCCTGAGAAATCCTCAGTTCCTTCTGGTAGAGCAAACACTACCACAACATCTGGAGGTCCCTGTAATCAACCCTTGACAAAGGGAGCGTGTTCTCCACCACAGAGGCTCTGCCTGGGTTGGCTGTTGATGACGATGATGATGATGGGTTTTTAATGGATTTAGTGTTGGGCTGATGGTGGCCATCTCACTGGTCCTGTTTCCTGGCCTTGAGACTCGCTCCTCCAGCATCACCACCACCAGAAAGGCTGCCCATGCTTGCGCAAAGCTGGTTTGTGCATGGGAATAACCAGTTGCGGCGAGAAAAATGGACTCGAAAGAGTCTCTGCCGTCACACAGAGTCTGGCACTGTCTGTGTCAGGAGGGACAAGGGTCCTTTTGTGCATCGGAGACAGCCCACGACCCAGCCGACACATGATCGCTCAGCAAGCCCATCCGCCAGGAATCAAATTAAAATGCATTTGCCTCCCTTCCCGTAAAAGAAGCTGGTTTGATCTCACTGCTGCACCCTGTTACGGGGGAGCCCACAGAAAGGGGGTTACAGGGCAATGACTCCAGGGCAGGAGCTCAGAGACCAGCAGCTACTGCAGAAGAAAAGGTTTGAGCAAAGGTGCCCCAGGAATGAGCACGTGGGATGTGCCCTGACCCAAATGTCACCATGATTTTTGTCGGGAAAGAGCAATAGCAGCCTTCTCAGCTGAATGGTTCGACTCTAAGTGGGTGCCGCCATGCTGCGGAATGGCGTGGGCATGCCCTTTCTTGCAAACAAGCACGGTTTTGGTGCAAAGCTATCCTGCACCTACCTCCGACTCAGATCCTGCAGGGAAGGAGGCAATGAGGGTCTCCTAGAAGCTGCCATCCTGGAGGATCTCTCACCAAATCAAAGCACTATGGCATTAGGAAGCACCTTGACAACTGAGAGCTGATGGAAAAGGCGGCAAGCGATGGCTCCAGCCCATGACATGGAGATAACTCCAGTCCTTGCTCCAGGGACTGGATCAAACAACCTGTCCAGATGTGGCACGGACATTATCCCTGCTGATGTTTCCCCCATTTTGCTGCTTTTCCCCATGGAGCAGACCGCAAGCAGCACTGGCTGAGGCTCATGCTTCCCAAGCACATGGGCAGAAACCACATGCATGCTCACGCTCTACCTAGTCTGCAACATCTGCAAAAAATCCAAATATAGCTTTGGGAACCACTCTGGGATGAACATGAGGAGCCAGGACTGATCTTCCTCTGTCCTGGCCCCAGGGTTTTGCTTTTCCTGCACCCGCTTCAGCTTTAGGTCCCGTCATCACCCTTCATCCTGCTTCCCTCAAGACCTTGGCAACGGGGTTGTCCCTGCAGATGGAGAGGGTTGACAGTGCTCGGGCAGATGGGAAAACACTTTCCAGCTGCCCTTCTCTCCAACTGCTTCCTTCCCACTGAGCTTTGCAGATCTGCAGCCAACGAGACAGAGGTTTCCCGCACACTTGGCAGGCGATTAAACGGGTCAGACAGGCCACCGTGACTGAGAGAAGCCACACAAGATGCCCTAAAAGGCACAGGGAAGGGTTACAGAGCTCCAAAGACTTCACCCTTGCACATGGTTTCTCCATGCCTTTACATCTCCATCTCCTCTGTCCCCTGCAGACAACCCATCACCCAGCTCTGAAGCACTGATGGGGGCAAGACCGCCGCATCTTCCAGCCCACCTTCCTGCAGGTCCTAGCTAGGAAACCCAACAAGGTGTTTGAAACCCACCCGTAAGCCAAGGTGGGGAATCTCCTCCAGCGTGCAGGGCAGCACGGGCTGCCCCAGGCCATGCTGTGGCCACGATGTGCCAAGATGCACATCTCCATCTTCAGGACGAGGAGCAAACAGGGCTCTCTGCTTGGCTTGAACGCGGTAATCGCAGAGCCAAAACCCCACTCACAAGGCAGCCTTGTCCTTGCTGTCGTGCTCTCCCTCCTTTTCCTTCTGGAAATGCAAAAGCCTTTCTTTTTTCTTTTTTTTTTTTCCCCTACTTTTGCCCAGAATCCGCAGGACAAAACCTGCTGTGTCTGTCGGGGCCATGGCTGCAGTCCACCCCCTCACCCCCAGCCCCGTTGCATCCGCAGTCAGCGAGCCGGAGAGGACACGGCCAGCCAAGGCGGGTGAAGGCACAAAAGCTGGCAGCTGCCCTTCCCTCTGCCTACGGGCCGGATGGCACGAACGCCAGCTCTTCCAGCGATGCATCGAGCCCCCGGGAGGGATGAGGGGAGGGAGGAAGCAACAGCGATCCCTGAGGATGCCAAGCAGGATAAATACTTCTATGACTGCCAAAAGCAAACCCACCACGATGCTTCAGTGAGGACCACCTGCATCCTCTTCATCATCTCTGCCAGCCCTTCCTGGGGTCATGGCAGGAGGTTTTTTTCCCTGGCCTCAAACGCAGGTGAGCATGCACAGCTTTTTGGGTGCCCTCCAGCCACCCATGCCCAGCAAGGGCATTGCCCCAACCAGCTTCCTCCAATGCTGGACCACGTGTTGGGTCTGGAACCTGGTCGCAACGGCTGGACCATCTTGCTCCTTGCAGCATGGCCTTGTTTATCCCATGGGACATTTTTTTTTTTCCCCAGAAAACAGGTACCATCAGCTGTAGTGGATGAAGACATCACGGGAGAGGAGCCCTGCCATGAGAGGAGCCCAGGCAGATCGGAGTTGCAATCCCGGCAGCCACGTGTCCTCAAATATATATACTCACAGGCATGTGCATGTGATGCCAGCATCCCAAACCACTCCTGTAACAGTATCTACCGCGGCCGGGCAGGGGGTATTTAGATGAGTTAATATGGGGAAGGAGGGGGCTGACATCGGAGAAGGTCACGGGCAGCTGAAGGATGGGCAGCACCCAGGGCCAGCACAGGGGGACCAGGAGTCGGACACACTGAGTAAAGGGCTTTAGTCCTGCATTCTGCCCCATTTTTCAGCATTCCCAGTGCCATCCCAGCTGTCACCATCCATCCCACAGTGTTTTGTGCTTGGGAACCGGCCAGCAGAAGCAAAGTCATGAAAGCAAACAAAGCGCAACCAAATCACGGCTGCGACGACGGCATTTTCGTAGGGGGGTGGTGTGATGATGTTTAATTGACCTTCCCAAATAATTAATGTGAATTAATTTACTGGCAGGACCTCACAGGCACAGCCCTTCATTCTGCTGGTGCAAAGCTCTGGGAAATCAAACCCGCGCGGTGCGGACACGCCAACGGTGACCACAGCTCCCACCGCTTTACGCCGGGGGTTGAAACCACGATCCCTTTACCGCATCTTCCCCACCGACTCCTTTGCAACAGACACAAGGGGAGCGTGGGTGTTTTCCCTCCCCTAATTTGTAGGCATTTAGTAGACTCATCAAAATCCTCACTCTGGATCAGGAACTACTCGAGACGCTGGGAAGCAAACGACCTGGCATCATTTTTCTCTCCTTTGGGACTGTGGTTGAAACCCTCAGTAACCAAAAGCAAACAGATGGCGTTTTCGGATGCTCCCAAGCCTGTCTGGTTGGGAGATGTGAGATGGGACCAGGCTGAAATCTGAGCCTGGCCAAACTGCCTGGTTTTCATCTGCCCTTTCCCTTTGGCTCCTTTCTGCCACGGTGACCTTCAGCGCCTTTCTCCTCCGGGCTGGCTCTGGCCACCAGTGTGGGCTGAGGACATCCCCAGCCATCCCCGCCTCACCGTCCGCATCGCTTCCCGGCGCTTCTCTCCCCTGATCCCAAGGCAAGACAGAATCATAGAATC